AACAAGCTTGACTTTTGATAATTGTACTTCTACTAAAAGATTAGTTGATTGATGTAAGCCATTGTCAAGAGAAAATATCATGTATCTAAGTCACTTCGCTTGTCAAATCTGGTAATCAAGAGTGACTTTATCAAGAAGAGGCCCTAATCTTATCCTTCATCTTTTCTTCTATGCTTGGATTAATTGCTTTGACATTTTTGGTGGATTAAGTTCCCTATAAGTGAATTCTACATGAGTCAAGCCGTAAGTATTAGGAACGAACTACTTTGCACTAAATTATCTAAACACCATCAATGAAACATAACTTATCACCCCCATAATCCTAATAGTGGTATGCACAGTTCATTTACTCCTTGATACAACATAAGCACACGTGGCATTCATGGCACCATCTATCTATTTCATCCTCGATAAGCTTTCGCAAGAATAAAACACATTCTTCCTTAGTTTTCAATGTTGGCCATTGGTTTTTACGAAATTCTTTGATTGATACCTTGTTTCGAAAATATGGCTTTGAGAATGCACTATTTTCATACTTGAAATGACTTTTAACCCATACATACAATAGCTGTGTACATCCTTTGAAGCATTTTTTTTTCCATTTAATAGATAGAAATTCAATGACCTGATGGTTTCAACTAGGATTGCTAGTGTGGGATTAATTGTTTGGGTACCAATTTGCTTGAAATTTTCATTATAGTTATCTCGATGTAGCCCAAAATCTTCGAGACCATGCCATATAATGCCAAGGCAAATACAACCATGCCTTAATCGTCATCTAAAAGCTCTTTAACAAAATTATGAAGAAAGTCCCAGTAGATACTGAGATGCTCACTTTTAAGCTTCATAAAAAAATCTATGGTTTCCATTTTAACCCTTGTAAGCTTGGCCAATTTTTTGTGATAACCTGATTTTGACTTTCAGGTAAAACTTTATCCGAACACTATAGTTTTATCCCGAGCAAAACCATGTACTCTTCAATGGTTGGCACTAAATATTTCTGATTAAAAGCGAAGCATCTATAGGATGGGTCCCAAAACTTTATAGCTCCCCTGATCAACTATTCCTCGATCACCATCAAAATAAAAAATGTAATTTACTCATACTTTTTGTAAAATCTTTTTTTTTTCTTTCTTCACTTAACTAACCCTAGATGATGGCTAAGTCTTCTAAATTATTTTATGTAATATCCAAATGTACATTTTCGGGTAACTCAAACACATAATCAATAGGCAAGCAATCTTTATTCTTTTGTAAGGCTCCTTTCAACCAAACATGTACTTCATTATATGACTCACATGGGATATTCACGGATGATGAGTAAATTTATAATTTTATGAGATCCATGAAGAACTTCTCGAAAGAAAAATGTCCTAGAGCAAATACCTTAATGTAGAACTATATGATATGATATATGTAAAAGAAAAAGAAAGGAAAACAAAATGAAGTTAATGTGAGGATGTGGTTTGAAATATTTATTTTGTGTTTTTTAAACACATGATTTTTATTTTTGCACATTTTGAAATTAGGTATTTTTTACAAGAGGGTAGGCAAGGCTTTATCTAAGGTTGGCTTTCTATGGCTTTTTACATGCTTAGTTCAACTTGACACACGTCTAGAGGTTCCTAAATTGTTCCTCACTATTGTCCATATTGTATTAGTAAGGCACCTCAATTCTCATCTATTACAGGCTACAAACGAAAAAGATTCAATTTGAATGAAAGTATTTCACTTGCCATTGCAAAATTAGCACATATAGAAATCTTCAAAAAATTTGGTCATCATTACATGCTAAATTATGATACAACTGATGAAAGCAATGATGATGATCAAGATAACATCTTAACTACTAACCTAGTAGTAAAAGATGAAGTTACTATATCTAACATAGATACAAAATTAGAAACTTCTGAACAAATAGAAGAAAAAAAACCTAATCCATAAATAATGGATCAAGGTAAAAGAAAAGTTGGTGAAGTTTCTAACCAAGAAATTGATGATTTACTTAGATTTCCTGATATATCTAATCTATATATAATGGAACAACATCAACTATCTCTCTTAAATAAAAATGAGATAAAACAAACAAAACCAGGGCAAACATCCCAAAGTTCTACATCTATAGATTCTCTAAACAAGAGAAATGTAGCAACATGAGGTACATATCTAGATTTATCAAAATCTCTTATAACTTAATATAAAGAAATTATAGACGATTGGGCATAATCAATGACTATTGTAGTAACCTAGTACAAAGATAATTAGACAAAAAAAAATTTAATTATTTTTGTAGCACTTAGCATGGTGATGTTTTACAATTTTTGAAAAAATGAGAAAATTCTAAACTAGGAAAAACCTAAATGAGGAATCTCTTAAATCAGATTACTATAATCCCATATTTACTCAAAAGTCTAACCCAAATCTTAAAAATTGAAATTTATGGTAGAATGGATGAAGCTAATACAAACAATGAAGCTCAATATATCCTGTCAAAATTCAAACTTTGTAATATTAGAAATCTTGATGATTACTCTAAAAAATATGAGTAAATATCAAAAACTAGATAAAGAACATTCAACATTTTGGAAAGAACAATATTTTCATAAACTTCCCTCACCATGAGATGAGCTATGTTTACAAAATTATTCTACTTATTTAGAATTACATATAAAAAAATCTACTTCTAGTAATAGCAGTACTAATAATATTTCTCTTTATGATATTTTAGGAAATAAAATTAATTATATTCAAAAGCAGGTTATTGAATATTGTTTTAAACAAAAGGCAACAAAGCAAGTCAAAAGCAAATTTAGTGATAAAAAATGCACTAAGATTTTAGAAAATGAGTTTGAATTTGGTTGTAAAAAATCGACCAATCATTTTTATCAAAAAACAAAAAACAAAGAAGATATATTATGAAAAAAACGAAAACCTAAAAACAAGGCTACTAGAGGCAACAAAATTTGATATTAGAAGAAAAACTTCTAATAAACAAAAATGCAAATATTTTATTTACGAAAAAAAAGGTCATATAGCACCCAATTGCCCTAAAAAAGGGAAAAGTGCTAAAAAGGTTATTAAAACTCTTGAAAAACAAGATTTGTCAATCTATTTTACAAAAGACATATCTGACGAAGAAATTTTTATGAATTAATTTCTGAATGTGAATCAGATACTTCTTATTGTGAAACATAATATATTTTTATGATGAATACTACTTCTAATCAATAAGAAGTATTAGAAATATCTTCTGAAACACTTTTTGTTGAAACACAACAGATAACTTCTCTTAGAGATCTAATAGGAGAATTCATAACCTAATAAAAGATGAGATTTCTAAAATGCAAATTGTCAAAGAAAATGAAATTTATAAAACTTTTTTTTCAAAAGATTTCAACCTTGGATAAAACGTCACACTGAAAAAATCAGTGGAGATAAATTTTATAGTTTTCAACTATAGATAAATTAAAAAAGATAAATTATTTTAAAATTTTCAACTACAGATAAATAAAAAAAATTTAGATAATTCAATAATTTTTAAAATATTTTTTATAAATAATTTAAAATAGTAAATATCTTATGTGTCATTATAAAAAAAAATTTTAGAAATTTTCTTTCGTATAATATAATATCTGTAAATTCTATTTGGTAATTATGTATATTGCAATATAATATTATATGTATATTTATATGATTCCTTTATATTTTTTTCATCAAATTTCCATCACATCCCATCATTTATCTTTTTTCATTTTTAAGTACAAAATTAAAAAAAAAAAAAAAAAAAGGCTGAGGCAAGAAAAGAGACAGCATGCCATGTGGTGCTTTCATGAGAAGTCGAGGTTGATATGAATAAAATTTATTTTATGGATGGATTGAATATTTTTTTATTGTGCTTTAGTTTCATTGAATTTTGCTATTATATTTTTATTTTGGTAATTTTGAATCAAAACTAATGAAAATGAAACATTATATATAGCAAAAATATAAGTGTGCCATGTGAAGAGGGAGAGAGTTTTCTGAAAATCTCACACGCTATTTCCATTCAAAGTACATATATTACCCAATCCGACAACTCCTAAGTGGATTTTCTTCCATTAATTTCCTTTGAAAAATAAAAAATCACATAAACTCTTAAAGTTCCAACTAATATCATCCTTTAAAATACAAAATATAACCAAAAAGTTTAGCCAAAATCGTATCCAAGATACTTGACAGCAAGATCAACCATGGACTTCAACATCTTTCTTCAATTACCAGCAACTTGAAGTCGCCTTTTAATTATTTTTTAAGAGCAACGGTTGCTAACTTTTCTTCTGTTTGTTAACAATACTGTTTCCTTGCGCTGGCAGGTTTGTGCGGTTGATATTCTTTTGTCTACATTGTTCTTTTTTTTTTCTTTTACAAATTAAAGTCGTTGTAATTTGATACTAAAAAAATAAATTATAGATATTAAAATTTAAATATCAAATTTATTTGATGTCATTCGTTAAGAATGATTTTATCAATCAACCGTGTTAAATTCTGAGTTCTGCAATGTTCTTCTTTTTGAAATACTATTTTAATTCATTTACCAAAACTAAAAATCTTTTCTTTCAGAGTACTATAGGAGCTTTACAATGCATTTGAACCTTTTTTATAAGGGGGGAAAAGAATCGAGCAAAAATAAATATTGTTTCTGAGATTTTATAGTGAGCTAAGTATGATTCTTGCGAAGACTATTATTAGCTTTCAGTCTCTCTCAAAGTGGGGAACGAATTTAACTAGTGAGTGGACTTCAATGCAAACAGCACTCAACATTATCTATAAGAATGACTGGAATGACTTAAAGATTAGATCAGTTGATTTATGTAATCACTTTTAAAAAGTAATATCTAGTATGATTGTCGTCTATAATCTCTTCCTTTATTATCTTTTCATATAAAAAAAATAAAAACTTAAACGCCTTGTTTTAAGCTCCTTTACATGACCCTGCAAAGACTACGACTTGAGTTGCTAAAATGGATACCCTTGATAGAGAAATCCAAACCCCAAATTCAGGTCGTAAACAAGGCGGCCTTGATAGAGAAATCCAAACCCCAAATTCAGGTCGTAAACAAGGCGGCTGGATCACCTTCCCCTTCATTATCGGTCTCTTTCTCACCTCCTGTCCTTAACTCTGTTGCACCAATAGATCATTGTGTAATTCTTTTATCTAATGCGTGATGTTGGCTCATAATGCTTATTTTCCTATGATGTCAATCCAGGGGCATTGGCAGGGTTGACACTGGCTGCTGGAGGATGGATGTCGAACCTCATTGTGTATTTGATTCAGGTATTCAATTTAAAGAGCATTGATGCTGCTCAGGTTTCTAACATAGTGAATGGAGGATCAAGTCTGTTTCCTATAGTTGGAGCTATTATAGCTGACTCTTGCTTGGGCTGTTTCGCCGTGATCTCAATATTTTCCAGCATCTCTTTACTGGTAATCATTTTAATTCCATTTATAATATCCAATTTTACCTGGATGCATGTACTTTCAATGATCATACACAAGACCTCAGGGTGATTTCGAAGAGAAAAATGATCTATTTATATCATTTCCGAGTTAATTATCATGCTCAACAATGTGAATTAAACTCAAACAACAACATGCAGTAGCATTAAAGCTTTGATCAGTTTTATTTTTGTTAATTCAACTTTGCAGGGCACAGGTTTTCTTGCCTTAACCGCTACAGTAAATTCATTGAGGCCTCAACTCTGTATTGATGGATCCAGCTTTTGCAAAGCCCCATCAAAGGTTCAATTCCTCGTCCTTTATGCAGGAATAGCTCTGGCATCTATTGGTCAGGGAGGCACGCGTTTTACTTTAGCAACAATGGGAGCAAACCAATTCCGTAAGCCCCAACAGCAAGGGATTTTCTTCAATTGGTACTTTTTCACTCTATACACTGCCTCTGTTGTAAGTTCCACAGCTATAGTCTATATTGAGGACAACCTGAGTTGGGGGTTGGGTTTCGGAATATGCGTTGCTGTTAATTTCATTGGCTTAGCCATTTTCTTGCTGGGAAACTGGTTCTATTTACATGACAAGCCTCTAGGGAGTCCATTCATGAATATTGCTCGTGTAATGGTGGCTGCTTTTAAGAAAAGAAACCTCCCACTCTCTCCCCTGAGCGAGGATTATTACGATGAACATAATCAAGCAATGACTTTGGAGGCTGCAGGCCCTACAAATAGTTTCAGGTATGACCCATGTTACTAGCTCTAAACTTAGAGTTTCTGTTATAATTATAAACGAACTCTACTTTCATGCATAAAAAATTTGGATGTGGGCTCCTAATCTTAGGTTTTTATTTTTTTTTTATTTTATGGTAAAGAGTTTTTGGATTTTACTGGTATATCCTTTTTCAAATCAATCCACATAAACTTATTTACATCTAATTTAATAAAATCATGGGAATTTTTTTTTCACTGCCTCCCGTGGGATTTAAACCGAAACAATAAAAGAAAATTACTCTTTTTATCACTTGATCCAACAATACATTGTTAGTCCTTTTCTCTCCTTTATGTCACATTTTTGCTTTAGATTTTCCTTCCCTCGTAGCTCCAGGAAACTAATAATAAATAAATACTCTCCCTATGTATATTCTTTCCCTCTATGAAACGTATTTGATGTCGGTAATGCGAATTTATTAGTTAAAATTAGCAATCTAACATGCCCAGCTTCCCTATTTCTCGTAATAGTTTTGGGAGGAAATCGTGCACGCTCTCGTTATTTCATAGGTACCAAATGTTCACTTTGCACATTGTATAGTCAACTTAGAACGATTCCATCAATCTCTTCATTCAAAAAAATGGGTATTTACTATTTACTGAGTGGAGAGCCCCACCATGTACTTCAAATCCATCACATGTAATGGGCACATGTAATGGGTTTCCTGGTCCTTCAGATTTCTTTGGCAGAGAGCTTTCGTGTCTAATTTTATTTCGTATATTTTTGGGTGGGCAATGTCATTGATCCATGATTTCATAGAATGTGCGCATAAATATTGATTGCACGTGATGTACTTGCGTATGATTGCTAAATAAATATCAGCCAAGTGTGCTTATAACAGTAGTGTTTTCGGACCCATGGTCTCAGATAAAGTCATATTTGAGGGAAACATTTTACAAGGAAGATCACCATTTCATGAGTGACCCCACATCAGATTCATCAACTCCGTACCGTAGTGGTTAACATCGCAAAAAAATGTGGGTTTGACATGGGAAAAATGATCATAGCAAAGCAGAACCAAAATCAGGATTAATCAATTTTAATTTAGTTACTAAATGCCAAGTTGCACTCTTTTGTTGTAGGTTCCTCAACCGTGCGTCATTGAAAGCTGAAGGAGACATTGGATCAGATGGCTCAATAGCAAAGCCGTGGAGTCTTTGCACAGTGCAACTTGTAGAAGATCTGAAAACCTTGATCAGAATTTTTCCATTATGGTCTTCAAGTATATTTTTAAGCACCCCAATAGGAATCCAGCTCAGCCTGACAATACTCCAAGCTCTGAGCATGGATCGTCACCTTGGACAACATTTCAAAATCCCTGCTGGCTCTATGATAGTCATAGTGTTAATTTCCACATCCATTTTTCTCACCCTGATTGATCGATTCTTTTGCCCTATGTGGCAGAAGCTGATTGGGAACTCTCCATCGGCCCTCCAGCGAATAGGCATAGGCCATGTGTTGAACATGCTAGGAATGGCAGCGTCAGCATTGGTGGAATCAAAACGGCTCAAAATGGTCCATGCCTACCATCTCCAGTCTCAACCAACGTCCGTATTGCCCATGTCGGCTTTATGGCTGTTTCCCCAACTTGTTTTGGTTGGAATTGGAGAAGCCTTTCATTTCCCTGGACAAGTTGCACTCTATTATCAAGAATTTCCTGCATCTCTAAGAAGCACAGCAACTGCTATGATTGCCATGATTATTGGGATAGGTTTCTACTTGAGCACTGCTATAATTGATTTTCTTAGGAGGGTTACCAGCTGGTTACCTGATAACATAAATAATGGGAGGTTAGATCATGTTTATTGGGCCTCAACTGTGGTAGCATTGGTTAACTTTGGTTATTACCTTGCTTGTGCCATGTTGTATACGTATCAGAATGTTGGAAAGGAAGTGGCTGATAGTTCTGGTTGAGAATGTTAGATATAGAGATTTTTCTATGGTACTCTAGAGATAATATCTTTTTGTAATCTGTCCATTACTTGTATTATTGGTGATGTTAGTTGAACTTAGTTAAAAATACGTGAAACTCCTTGAAATAGGTAGATATGTCTTAACTACTACACTTAATGCATTTTGTATAAATTATATCATATAATGAAATGAAGTTGGTGTTCCTAGCACAAATCTCCTCTACCTTATGCTTTCTACTATGTTTTTCATTTTCTTTCTCAATATTACAACATGGTATCAAAGCTTTAGAAGTGATCTTAAGGGCTGTAAATTAAGGTGCAAACCGGCAAAACTTCCTTCTTCAAAACCTTAAGCCCTTTAGAACCTGTTGCATGGCTTCTAGCAACTTTGCAATTCCATCACCTAACGTATTTACAAGAGAAAATTATCTTATTTGGTCAGTAAAGATGAAGTCATATTTGAGAGCATGACTTGTGAGAAATAATGGAAACAAGGAAAGATCCACCACCCTTAAGAGCAAATCCAACAATTGCTCAAATTAAGCAACACAGTGAAAAGGTTTCCAAAAAATAAAGCTTTGTCCTACATCCACTCAGCTGTATAAAATGTGATTTTCACAAGAATAAAGACTTGTGAAACAGCCAAAGAAATATGGGACAAACTTAAGAAGGAGTTCAAGTGAATGACAGAACAAGGTAAATTCAAACGCTTAACTTTGGAGGGAGTTTGAGGTTTTAAAGATAAATGACACTAAGATTATCAAGGAGTATTCTGATAGACTTATGAAGGTGGTTAACCAACTAAGACTATATTGAGAAGAGTTATCAAAATAAAAGATTGTTGAAAAGATACTTGTAAGTGTTCTTGAGAGGTTTGAATCAAATATTTCCTCTTTGGAATACTCAAAATATCTATCTAAGCTTACCTTGACAAAAGTTGTGAATGCTCTTCAAGCTTTGGAGTAAAGAAGATTTGTCAGACATAAAGAAGCATTAAAGGGAGCCTTTTAAGCAATGCTTAAGGAAAACATGCATTCCACAGTGAATGCAAAAAGCAATCTAGAGTAAAAAAAAAAAAAAAAAAAGAAGTAGATGGCCATAAAAGAGGAGACAAGAGAGAAGGTATCCCACCTTATCCTTATTGCAAAAAGAAGAACCACACTGGGAACTACAATTGGTTTAGCCCTAGAGTGAAATGTAGAGCATGCAACTAGTTCAGTCATATGGAGAAGGTTTGCAAGAACAAAGCAAACCAACAAGGAACACAAGCTTAAGTTGCTGAAAACCATGAATGAGATAAGGAAAGACTTTTTGTTGCTATATGTTATACAACTAATAGTAGCAAAGAAGCTTAGTTAACAAATAGTAGTTCTACCCATCATATGACCCATGATTCTGGAATCTTTAAACAAACAACTTTTACATCTCAAAAGTGAAGATTGGTAATGGGAAATATGTTGTGGTCAAGGGAAAAAGTGTTGTTGCAATAGAGACTTCCTCAGGTACAAAACCTATTTTTGATGTGTTTTTTATGCCTGAAATCAGTCAAAGTCTTTGTCATAACATATAGATCCGTAAATCTATAGCTAGACTTAACAAATGGAGTCGCCACCAATCTTTTATATTAGGTGTGATTGGCCACGTAAGGAATCTATTCTCTTAAGGAACTCCTAAGCTTGACTAAGGATCCCTAAAAGAATAAGTTTGGGTCTACCAATCAAAACAGGATTCGAGAGTTTAGTTACATGTAAAAAAAGTTATAGCACCTCCACATACCTATCCGAATGATGGTATCATTTTGTTTTAAATTTATTTTAGGGTATTGATTCTAATAGTTTCAATTTTTTATGTTGAAATATTAGAAATAATTCATAAAATTCTTCCATCAATCTGGTAAAATTTTTAAAAATATTTTCTCACTTCAAGAGTATTCAAGAATCTCATTTCTTTTCTTAAAGAGGCTCCAACATCAAAAAAAGATTTATTTATTATTTTTTTGTTTGACGAAAATATATCTAATTATTCCACAATTTTAACCAAATTAAAAATATTCTCTTTTGAATTTTTAAATTTTTCACCATTTAGGCCTATTTAAAAATTCTTTTTATTTATTATTTTTTTTATTTCTAAAAGTTTCACCATTTAGGTCTATTTAGAAATATTTTTTTCTTCTTTTTTCTTTTTTTTTTTTGTTTTTGGAAAGAAAATAATATGACAATTATTTTTCTATTGAAATTTCGTTTAAATTCTTTCTTCATTTGGAACGAATTTAAAGAAATTTCTTACTTAGAGATTTTTTAAAAATTTAACATTTGAAATTTCTAAGATTCTCATCATTGGATTGTAGACACCCAATTTGGTCCAGATCCGGATCAATTGGGCATGGTCCAAATGGGTAGGCCCATTTTATTTTTTATTTTATATTTTATATTTTTTTCTTTTTTGTTTTGTGTATCTTATGTATTTATTATTTATTTATTATTACTATTTATTAATATATATTTTATTTTTTTATTTATCTGTTAATATATATATTTATTATTATTTATCTATTTATATATTATTATTTATATGTATTTATTATTATTTATCTATTAATATTTTTATTTATCTAATTATTTTATTTTAATTATCTATTAACATTTTTTATTTGATTTGATTTTCTTTTTCTTCTTATTCGGATGGGATTGGGATGAAAATTTGGGAATTATACCGTGAATTTGGGATTCAATCAAAGTCCATATTGGATTCAAGAATTGAATCTCAATCCAAAGAGAAGTTGGGATTGATCAGAAACTCTTCTAATCAATCACTATAAATAGATCCACAAATCACAAAGATCAAAACACAAAAACGCAGACACTAACTAAGAAAAAGAGTGAAAAGAGAAAGAAAAATGCATTCAGAAAGGCAAGAAGCAATTTCAAGAATTTTTTTAGAATTTTGGCGATTTTTTTTTAACATTTCTGAAAATTTTTCAGATTTCGATTGAATTTTTTGACGAATTTTAAATTTTTCGACAACTTTTTCGGCTAAGTTTGAATTTTTCGGTCAGCTACCCAGTTCCAATGACCATTTTCAGAGACCAATCAACTTTTCGATGAACTTCTGATGAAAAACCCAGATTTTGATGATATTTTTCAGAATCTGACGAGATTCAACTGCAGTTCTTCGTTGGTTTAGAGAGAGGAAAGAGAAAAGGAAGGGAAGAGAAAGAGAGGGGAGGAAAAATCTGCTGAAAAAATAGAAGGGATAGCTTTTTATACTCGCTGAAAACGACGTCGTTTTGGTGTTATTATTCCCAAAGGATCCGTGCATTTTGAAATCGGGCGACCCGACCTGAGCGCTGACCCAAGTGTGACCTGAGTGCTATCTGACCCTTGGAGTCGAGTCGAGCAGAACCGACGCCCCGAGCTGCGTCTTCGAGCCGCCCTTTCTTCCTTAAGCCGAGCCGAGTCGAGCCGCTAAGCCGAGCCGTTCCCAGGTTTTTATTTATTTATTTATTTATTATTATTATTATTTTATTTATTTATTTATTATTATTTATTTATTAGATTAGAATTGTTTAGTACTTTTTATCTTTTTTTATATATTTTTAGTTTATTTTTATTTTTTTTTCTTATTCTTTTTTTATTATTTCTTTAAATAAAATTAAATATATATATTTTTAAGAAAAAGTTGAAAGTATCAATTTTCCTTAAAAATAAGTTTTCTAAAAAAATATTTTTGAGGAAAAGTTGAAAGTATCAATTTTTCTTGAAACTAAGTTTTTCTAAAAAATATTTTTGAGGAAAAGTTGAAAGTATCAATTTTCTTTGAAAAAAAGCTTTCTAAAAAAAAGTTTTTTGAGGAAAAGTTGAAAGTATCAATTTTTCTCGAAATTAAAGTTTTTAAAAAATATTTTGAGAAAAAGTTAAAAGTATCAATTTTTCTTGTACAAAAACAATGAATTTTTGAAGAGAAAAAGATTTGTATCTAAAACTAAATCATTTTTTTTCTTCTTTTTCATTTTATTTCTTTTTTTTTATTTTCTTGAATTTTCTTTAATGTTAAATAATCCGACAATGGAGCCTCTGCAAATGAAACAATAGTTTTCTTGCATACTCTTAAGGTGAGAAAATTTTTTCAATTTTCTGCTAAAAGTATTAGAGTCAATTGAGAATAATTTCTAATAATTAATTACTTGGTAAATTTTTAAGGCTTATTGGATAACACAAAATTAAGCTGGTACCATCTTTCGATAGGCGTTGTGAGGGTGCTATAACCTTCCTCACACGTAACCAAACTTTTGAACTCTGTTCTGGTTAATAGACCCAAACATATTCTTTTAGGGACCTTTAAGCTTGGTGTTCCCTTGAAATGATATATTCCTTAGGTGGTCAATTGCACTTAGATAAAAAAGATTGGTGGCGACTCTTTAAGTCACTATCTAGCAATAGATCCCTAGATCTAGACGTTATGACAGCTTGGCGACTCCACTAAGGACGTCTGAGAGTTAGGCCAACAAATAAATTTGTGCTATCCAAAAGCCTAATAAAATCGAACCTTTTTGTATATATTTTATTTATTCATTCATGTTTATTTACTTTATTAATTATGTCATTCATATGCATATACATAACATGAGCTCTATACCCGAGCTCCGTCCCTCTAGGAAGGAGTAAAGTACCTATTGCTTTCGTGAGGTTTAATGCCTCCGTAGTGGCTAACGAAATACTCCCACTCAAATTGAACCTTTTTCGCTTGTAGCCTGTAATGAGCAAGGATTAAGGTACCTTACTAGTCTGTGATGGACAATGATGTAATGAGCAATTTGGGAACCTTTAGACTTTAACCACAAACCACATATAGTGAACCTTAAGAGTGTCTAACCTATAGATAGAGCCATCATTCTTCCCTTTTAGAATTAACCAAAAGTATAAGGTTCATTCCTCTTATTCTGTGTGATGTTTTAATTTACTTAGTTGTTTATTTATTCCTTTTTTTTTTTTGTATACTAACATTTTCTCTCATTCTTTTGCATTGGTTTATGCTCATATCATAAAGTTGCATAAA